CCAGACTCGCGCAGGATTTGCGATCCTTCTCGCCTCTTTAAAGCTCGCAGGATTTGCGATCCTTTTCGCCTCTTTAAGGCTCGCAACTTTTGCGATCCTTTCGCTTCTTTAAGGCTCAACCTCGCTCTCCGGACAAACTGACTCCTTGTCGTTTTGATCGTCGTCCTCGGTTTTTTGCGAATCTCGTGCCTTCGCGGCATCTTCCTCATCCTTCGAGTCTGCCAAGTTGTGGCTGCGCTCTTGCTCAGCTGTGGCCAATGTTTTTTCGAGCAACGCCTTCTGCATTGCTGCCTTGGCATGCTACGGAATCACGGTTACGACGGGTTTCATCTTGAGATGGCTTGTTGTTCTTGTTCGTATCTTGTTGGTGGCGGTAAGGGTAGAGTGATGCATGGTGGAGGTTGTTCTTGAGTGGAGAGTTGAGATGTTGCTGCTGATGTCGTCGTTGTCGCGCTCGTGGTCGTGGTCCTGTGGATCTACTTACTGTTGCTGCTGTTGTTCTTGTTGTTGTTGCTGCTGCTGCTGCTGGTGATGTTGCTGTTGTCGTCGTTCTTGTTGTGGTTGCTGCTGTTGCTGCTGTTGCTGCTGTTGTTGCTGTTGTTGCTGCTGCTGCTGTCTGTTCTGTTGTTGGTGATGATTGGTTTTTGTTTGCTGTTGCTGTTACCGTTAGTGTTACTTTAGCTTTCTGGGCTTGATTTAATAATATTATTAGTTTAGAACTCGGAACCAACAGCAATTATCAAATCGAGTGGTGTCTGATGTTTACAGCCACGCAGCACACATGGCCTTCACGTCTTCCAACCTCTCTCCTTGTCTCAGCCTTCTCACGGCTTCAACCTGACTGTCCAGGCACCCAGACACTCACTGCTCGATAGGCTTGAGAAATGCTACCAGTTGCCACCAAAGGCACTGCAATCTCTTCCGTCCGGTCTTTCGGATACAGCACTCCGCCAACCTGGGCTAGAATTCTGCATGACGGTATTTTATTTTATGCCTTCAAAAACTCAACCCTTAAATCGAAACTTAGATGCAAATAGAGTGGCTCTTATCTTCTCTGTGGCTCCATCCGAATCCTGCGCTGGCGGACGCGGCGGTGTCTTGGCTTTTGCTTTGGCCTTAACCTGGGACTTCTTCTTTGGCTGCCCTTCCTTCGGCGGCACATTGACATGCTCCTGGCTTCGCGGGGGTTAGAGTTTTTCGAAGAGTGTCAAATCATGTAGCATCATCATGGCTTCAATCCGAATCCTGCGCTGGCGGACGCGGTGATGTCTTGGATTTTGCTTTGGCCTTGGGCTTTCTCTTTGGCAGCTCTTGCTTCGGTGGCACATCATGCTCCTGGCTTCGGGGGTTAAAGTTTTCGAAGAGTGGTAAATCATGTAGCGTGAGGGCATCATTATAAAATACAATAATGAGACATTAGATTCACGCATGCGAGACTAGTGGCCTCCGCTTCCGACTCCTCGGCAGCTTCTGATTCTTCCCTCGACTCCTCGATTGGAAAGTTCAAAGGTTTACTATGTGAGTGACTGTCAGCCGGCCAGCCTGCTTCGAACCCGAAGCGATTTCTCCTTCCTTCTTCACTTCTTTTGGCTTCTTGGGCTCCTGAATTAATTAATTTAGCGAGGGTGTAGGGCGTAATAGGGTTTCAATTAAAGTTAAACTGACGTCAAGCAATGCCATGAGTACAGTCAGCCGGCAAGCCTGCTTCGAACCCGAATCCGAAGCGACTGCTCCTTTCTTCTTCTTCAGCTCCTTTGGCTTTTAAGCGAGGGTGTAGGGTGTAAGATTGATTGAGTTGTTATTCTGTTATCAAGTATGACATCTCATGACAGTCAGCCGGCAAGCCTGCTTCGAACCCGAGTCGTTTGCTTCTTTTTTCTTCAACTTTGGCTTCTGGGGCTCCTGACTTTAACTCAGCGAGGCCGATGGCGTAGGGCGTAGGGTAGTGGGCTCATTAGGCTTAGGGCCTGCACAGGGCCTTCGGGTTGTTATTAACGGCGCTTTAGGAGCTATAATGGCATAATAAGCTAGCCTTATCTGATATTTAAATAATAGCGAGGTACTAGGTTGAATAGGGGAAGGTTGGTATTTACAGCACTCAGGTTTCACTTGTCAAGTGTTGGGTAACTTCTAACGACAGGCGGCCCTACGACTCTCGTCGTCCTCGGTCTTTGCTTCTTTCTGCTCCTCGGTCTGCATGGGCTCCTGGCTGAACTTAATCAACAAGGGATTGAACTTAATACAATTGGGCATTGCATCCGTGCAGCGCTCATTGTCACGCAACGAACACACACGACTCCGCTCCTCCACATCCGGCTTCGGTCCCGGATCTGTCCTTGCTTTCTTCTCTGCTCCCTCCCTTACGTCATCATCCTGCACGGAACCTTCCGTGGAAACAGTCTTGCTAGGGGCTCGTGTCGGCTTTATGGCTGGACGTCGTGGCTGCTTGGCTTCCTCCTCCTGTTCATCCTTCTTCGAAGCTTGTTTCCTAACAGCTTGGGTTGGGGCGATTTTAAGCCTCGCTTTCACGGGTGAGGCTGAGGGTGGTTGCTGCTCGGATGCTGGATGCTCCTGCTTGTCCTCCTCCTTTAACTTTTCATCCTGCTCCGAAGCGTCCTTCGAAACACCTGGGGTAGGCTTGTCCTCCTCCTTTAACTTTTCATCCTGCTCCGAAGCGTCCTTTGAAACACCTGGGGTAGGTGCAATGTTCGACTTTGACTTCAAGGCTGAAGGGCGCTGCTTCTTGTTGCGGAGCTCTGCATTTTCATCCTCGTGTTGTTCCTTCTTATGTGTTGCCGGTCTTTTCAGGGGTGGCTTTGGCTCATCATCACCGGTATCACGTTTCAAGTTCTTGTCATTCATCGCGGGATTCTTTTTGGGTGCTGGTTCCTCTTCCTCCTCCTCCTCTTCCTCATCAGGCCAATAGATGCCCTTTTCCTCCTCCTCCCCTTCATAGCAACTCATGTCCAGAAGTGGAACCTCAGGGTCCGCTAAGCTTTCGTTATCTTCTCCTTTAACTTTCTCCTGACGTGGACTGTTGGTGTTCGGAATTGAATAAGGACACCTGGAAATTAGCATAGCAAGAAACAATAATAAACAACAACTTTGGCATAACAACCCTTGTTACAATACAACCGCCGATCCAATAAGAATCAAGCCCAAGGAAGTTTGAACCCGCCTCGCATTCATCGGAGCTTGCGGACAGCTCATTCACTGCGCTAAAAACTGGCATGCCCCTACTCCTACGACAAGCAGGGCCTGGCTTGACCTGAAAGAACAATTCAATTTGACAAAACAAGCCATGGCTTCCAAGCTTGTCCTCTCAGTGACAGGACTCAGACTCAATGCGAGAATCAAACGCAGCCGCTGACTGGTTGTTCAAGACGATGCCAAGCTCGTCAGACTCGATGTCTATGCGATGTTGCACATGGCAGAGACATTCGGACTCCGAAATCACATCTGAATCATAATAGGGGGCTTACTTTATTATAAGGACTGAGAAATTAAAGTAACATAAGCAGCCCACAAAGTGCAACTGACAACGAAAGAAAATTAAAAGTTAAAAGCGGCCTTCAGGCTTGATGTGACAGCGCACACGACGTGGAGCGCAGAACTAGGCACAGCTATTAAACATGAATTGAAACCCTCGGGGTACTATTATTATACTACTCCCAGCTTGTCCACTCTCACGTCTACTGTGCTTGTGCACGGCCAACTCATCAAGAGGGCTCGAGGCTCGAACTGAATCAGCATCACCATCATTCACATGTCATTCATGCGTTCGGATGGAGACTAGAAGCACCAAGTCGGCTTGAAACGTTCGAATGCACCAATCTTGCAACTACTAGTGTACCATGATGATGATGCTGCTGCAGCGTCCGGAAAAACTCAGGATCAGGAGCTGACCTTGCACCAACTTTGCGGAGGCAGTCGCACGCTGCAGGTCAAGTAGATCTTCGGCTTGATCGGCATGATCTTGGGCGGTATCCCGCTCACCGTCACCTGCAACATAAACAATGACAGCTGAACCAAAGTAATCTGCTCAATGACACGACTGACTCCACGGAGGATGCCCGACAACCTTTTATCGTTTGCTGCTGCAACAGTAATTATACAGACATAATGAAAAGCCCGCAGTGGTTGCAGCACGACGGCCTCCCAAGCCACAGTGGCAATCTTGTTGCGGGGCAAGCGGTCATAGTTACCACTGAAGAGAGCGGCGAGGGAGACAGCACGGACATTCTCTGTCTCCTCTTTGCTCAACGCTGCTGGCTTGAAGACACTCGTCTTGCAGCTCACGGTCGGGGCCACATCATATCTGAACCCAAGGGCTTCGTCATCATCAAGCTGGGTCGCGGCATCTTCTGGCGCAGCAGCAGTCTTGGATGACAGGTCATGTTGAATCTCACCTCTAGATTAATAAGCATAGCAAGCAAGCAGCAGGAGGCTTGGGCAGCACCACGTGGGACTCCAGCTCCACATTCACGAGGCCCTCCTCCGTGGCCTAGTAACGCAAACCAGGCTTTTAATAACCTTCCACATCACGAAGCAACCCAGTCCTACTTCATCATCATCACCATCAATCATCATTGTCGTCATAAGACTGACACTGAGAATCATCACATTCATTTCAGTCTGCCCTTCAAAACTTACACCGGCATCATGTGATGTCAGGACCCAATGCACAATCCCGCTGCGCTACGAGTGCTAGCATGCTTCTTAATCTGTCAATCGTGGGCGGCCTTCAGCCGCAGCAATTCGCATAGTGGCAATGCTGACTTGTTCACAACAACGAGCTCCTTGTCGCTGCCCAATCGCCATGGCACCCCGGAGCTTTCCTCCAGCACGTTTCCTGGAATCAGCGGGCTCTCGCATTAAAAACTGCTTCAATGCCGGAACACTCGTGCAATGGTTGTTTAGCACTTAGTAGTGGTACCACTCGTCGTGCCAAATACATGATTCTTATTGTCTTCTTTTGGAATCTCACACTTCATTTAAAACTAAGGGGTGTGCTTGTTGCTTTGATTCGATATTCTTATTTCAGATGAGGAGCGAACAGGACGGTCCGAGTAACTGCCCATCCCAAACCCACAAAGTTCAGAGCAGCAAAGATCCAGAGGGGAGTCGCTGGTGTTGCCGATCCACAAGGCGTACTCGGCCGTGATCATGATGCTCGGCTTGCCGGGGCGCCCAGTGACCATGGAAAGCCTCAGTCAGGTGCCATGAGCAGCAGGACACACACACACAGATCTAAACATGTACGCTAATTTTTCGAATTTAGGGCTAAGTTCCTGTTACAAACTTAGGGTTTCGGGGTTTAGGCATTTGGGGGTTTAGTAAAAGGGGTTTAGGATTCGGGATGAAAAGTTAAAGGCTTCTGATTCTGGGCTTTGGGCTAATAAGGCTAATAATTACACGCATTGCGACCTTGCATGCTCAGAACAAATTTTTCAATCAATGATTCAAACCTTAAGAGCCATCAGACTGGTAGCATGGTCTCCTTCAGCTCTGCGACGGGGACCGTTGCGAGGTCCACGCACCGCTCAACGTCCAGCGGCTCTCCATCCTGCGAGTAGTCGCACTCCGCAGCCAGGCGCTGGGTCTGCTGGCTGACCGAAGAGGCCTGTCGGCCCATCTGGCTCAGAGCTCGCGGCTTCGGGAACTCATTCAAAAACTCCTGGCGCAATGCCAGGAGCTTTGCATGCTCCGGGGTACCGCCCGGAAACTTGTCCTCAAGCGAAGACGGCCATATGGGCTTGGAGCCCTGCAAGGAAAGGATCTGCAGCTGCACGGTCGCCGCCTCCAAATCGACATCATCTCAAGCGCGTCTCTTTGCAGGGGCGGCGCTGCTGTTATCCCACCAGGAGTAGATCTTGCCGCTGAGCTCCGCTTTCACATCAGCATGCTCCGGGCGGAAGAGGCCGACGTAGCGCATGCAACTCTTGCCTTCGCTCGCAATCATCTTGTTCACGGCCGCGCGGGCAAACTCGGCTTGCCTGCAGGAGCAACCCTTCGAATTTCAAGTATTATTTGATGGTTTGACTGAAAGAAAGGAATCAACATATCAGTTCAGGTCCAACCTGTTGGGACAGAGGTCCACGATCACCAGCCTGTCCGTTTCGGAGAAGCCCATGCCATCCATGAAAGCATCGAGGATGCCCTCATGCAGCGGCACTCCCTTCCTGTTCGTATGATGGCGCACTCATGTTCTGATTCGGATAACAGACCACTGGCTCACAGGAATGAATCAGTCAAATACAAAAACCCTTATCTTTCGATGTGACCGAAACGCCCACGCGACCGACCCTGTGACACACGAGTTAAACTTGACCCCAATCCTGACAACCTATTTAGTATGGTTCTCCTGCTAATGATTAATGATAATAGCAGCTTTATCTTCACCATGCTTATAGATATTTACCGATATTTTTTTATGGTTCACACCCACTAAGTTTAAAAGAACCTTTCAGTAGTATTAGAAAAGAAACAAACTCTTTGTAAATGCCCGAAGTCTGACCTTCGGACTCACTGTTTGTTGCCCAGATGCTGCTCTATCCTCGCCGCAGGGCCAGGCCGCGAGGTCTCGTAGCCCAGGAAGTCCGCGACTTTCAGGAGCGGGAAGGGTCCCATTCGGCACTCTTGCAAGACTCGCGAAGCGCTCCAGCTTGTTGCATCGAAGCCACTGAAGAGGCAGTTCAAGCAGGTTTGCGTCAGGGACCGCTTGTCAGATGCACTTGCGTCGGCAGGCTTCTCGAAAAGCAGGGCTGTCACGGAGTCTGCGTTGATCTTTGCCTTCATCAACAAGTCCTCCACGGTCCGCCTGTGCTTGACGCTCGTTGACGAAGCCATCGCGCGATGCGGCAGCGGAAGCTGCAAGAGGCCCACGTTGTTGGAGCTGCTGGCAAGCAAGTTTGCCAGCAGCTCCACGGAGTCCCTCACGTAATCTACATTCGCTGGCAGCACCGTGTAATCGCAAAGGCACAACACGTACCTGAATTGGAAGCGGTCATCCCAGGCCGCTTGATAGAAAACAACAACTCCGAAGGCTCAGAACACTTGATCCTTAAACCGTAGACCCCGAGGACACTAAGTTACTCTTAGTTAGTTTACTTACATCACATGTCAACTAGTCACTGAAGTAACACACAACCCCAAATAGGAGCTCTAACTAAATAACTCATAACTTAGATTCCCAACCTGACAATTAATACTGTCATATTATGTCAATTATTAATCTCTTAATAATAAACGTAACACTTAAACCCAAAATAGGAGCTCTACCTACATTCTGGGACCTCGGGCTCCGAGTCTGTAACAATGATTGTAATGATGAATTGGGATTCACGAATTGGATTACTTTAGGCCTGACTCGAGGCTGTAGGATAAGTAATCGTCGAGTGGCTGCGTGCCCGCGATGCCACGGAACTGGCCCAGGTATTTGAGCACGTTGGGCAGGACATTGTTGCCTTTGCAGCTGAGCGTCTCGTCCAGCATCTCGCAGTGGCAGTACTCGGCCATCCACGTGTGCACAAAGTTGTCGCCTTGCCTTGACAGCATAACTAACGTAGTCCACGTGACAAGGTTTCTGGCTAGTGTTGTTCGTGTCAAGCTGCATTTGCCTGTCCTTGACGTACTTCAAATCCTTTGCCGCAGCGATGGCCTTGAGCACATGGTCTGGGGTCCGCTGCCGCAATGCCTTGATGTCAGACTCGACCAAGGCGGTGATCTGGGCCAGGGTGGCTTCGCGGACTTGCCGCGCATGCTCTGCCTGCGTCGCATCCATCTCCGCCTGTGCCTGGGTCTCGATCTGGACCACCACCGCCCTGAGGGCGGAAAATTGTCAGGTAGATGGTTCATTATGCTGCTTGTTTATTAACCGTGCACCTGAAGGCGGAAACAGATTTCAGATCTGCTGGCGGCACGGCGCTCTCAAGGACGTGGACAAGGTCCGTGTCCAAGTAGCCGTGATGGAACTGATGCATGAGCTGCCGCCGGAGTTCAGGAAACTCTTTGCCGGGGCACATGGCTTCCAAGAGGCCGAGGAAGTGCAGCATGGCAGCACAGCAAGCATGCTTTGTCACCGTTTCCTTGTAGGTTGGTGCCTGAGGAAGCTAAGTTTAACACTGCTGCAACCAATCTTGGATTCTCAGTATTCTATTCTGAAGGCCAAACTTGCAGTTGAAACCACTAAGATTCCAAGGCACCTTGCGCAGGGGCTCGGGCGCGAGGTCGAAGTCGCTGACGAGGCGCTCCACCAGCAAAGATGCCTTATAGAGGTAGAGGTAGAGATAGAAATAGAGATAAAGATAGAGCTAAAGATAGAGATAGAGATAGACTTATAAGATTGTTTGGCATGCAGGGCTGGATTTTGCTAAATAATTATTTTGCCATTCCCAAGGGTGGGTTTTGCCATTCCAGATTTGGTGTTCCTGGGAACGTCTCGTTTGTGGCTTGTCTGGTTTGCCATTCCTGAGTTGGCGCTCCTGCCAGCTTCTTTTTTGCGGTGATCTGGTGTGGCAATCCAGTTTGCTGCGTCGCATTCTCATGTCGTGTTGTTTGCTATTCCGTAATTTCGAGTCCAGACACTACCCCTACCATCCACGTGTAGTGTAGGTCATGCTTGGATTTGTGCTTGTCACAAGTGAAGGCTTTTGGGGCATTATGCTGATTGAAGTAGCCAAACAAATATGTGGCACAGGGCCTAGGGCCCAATTGTTCCACAATACATGGCGCGGCCGCTACTCAGCCGCTACTCTTAAGATTGGAATTGCAACGCTCGGCCTTACCAACGATGTCTGCTCCCCCAAACAATAAACATGACGCATTTTGCAACCGTACTCTGCATGGGGTCGCTGGTCAGACACGGCAACCGGGAATGGCAGCCGAAGGGGGGCCGGAGCCGGGAACGGCAACGGGAATGGCAGCCAAAGGGGGGCCCGGAGCCGGGAACGGCAACCGGGAATGGCAAACCAGGCAGGCCGGGAATGGCAAATCCTCGAAGCATTGCCATTCCCGGAGCCCTTCCCGGTGCCATTCCGGAACCACTCCGGTTGCCATTCCCGGGGAACGGCTCTGGGAATGGCAACCGGAATGGCAACGGCAACCGGAATGGCAGCCAAGCCCTGGACAGGGGAACGGGGGTTTGGGGGCACGGAGGAAGGTAGTGGGGCTTGGGTGCTAGGGAGTGGTGGCTGTTTTGGGCGCCCCCGTCACAACCCCCTTCCTATTTCGACATGTGTCGCCCGCGCGGCCATGCTAAAGACAAGAAGACAGAGCATGAACTACACAAATACAGACACGTGCCGCCATTCAGCCCTGTTTGTTGGTATGACAAACTCAAACAAACAGATCCAGACTGCTTCTAGGAACAGCGGCAGAACGATAAATAGGAATATTGAAGACGAGCAGCAGCAAAGAAATGGCAGTTGGTACACCAAAGCTGGAATAGCAAAGCCGAAGAGCAACAAGGAAATGGCAGCTGGAACACCGAAGCAGGACTGGAAAAGCCGAACAGCAACAAGGAAATGGCAGTTGGAACGCCAAAACGAAATAGCAAAGCCGAACAGCAAAAATGAAATGGCAGTTGGAACCCCAAAACGGAATGGCAAACAGGACAGCTCGGAACGCCAAAATAAATAATTTACATGTCATCAGTGTGTCCAACAGAAAATCTTATAAAGATAGACATAGCCAGCCATGATCGAGGGGGCGCGTGAGCTGAGGATGATGATGGTCATGATGATTCGGACAAGTATTGCATGATGATTATGATTCTGATTGGACTACACTGGCCAAGGTCTGAAAACGAAAGGATTATGCTCACGATGATCTCATTCTACGTGTCTGGTGCAGTATAGTGTATAGTAGACCACTAAGAAAGCTTAATTAAGTTCAAGAGCCAATCCCTCAACCCCAAATTTTGCAAACCAGATGTTCACGTTCAGTCACAATCCTGGAATCGCCCGGGGCGTTTGTCAGCTGGTCCCGCCATGCATCCATGCCCGGCGAGGTGTTGGTGTAGGAGGCACTGAAGAGTTGTCGTGCCACAGCTTCATGGCCCAGAAACTTCACCATACCTCGTTGCTTCACTGCCGTTTCCAATGCATTTTTCACATCCTTCGGCACGGCCGTGATGAGCTGCTGCACAGCTCCGGCTTCGTTCCGGCCTATTTGGAAGGCCTTCGCAATGGCAGTCTGGGAGTGCCAATCCTGAGACTGAGAATAACAAGACTTCTTAGGAATCGAACATAAAGCCAAACGTCTTCAAGTTGCTATCTCGTTCTGAGTCTCCGAAAACTGCTGTTCGGCTCCTCCTGCTCCAGCTCTTTGTAAGATGACAACTTGACGCAGGAAGTGGAAGCAGTTTGGGGGTCGCCGCGTTGCGGTAGGGTAGACGCGAGGGTCACTCCTATGTCAGTTTTAACAACAAATAATAATAACCAGTTATCGGTCTATGACTGTCGACGCCAATTGTCTTGACTTGGTGCATGCAGGCCACCTCGCGAAGCCAACACCTTGGCCTTCACATCTTGAAAGGCTCCGAAGGAGCAGTGGATGGTGCCCATTGTCACCTGAGGCCGGGAAATGATCTGAAATCTCACTCTTTTATTTTAAAACTTAATATCTAAAGGCTTCACGTTTACACTGTCTGACTATGATAAATTTTAATTACAGCATGTGTTGATGTAAAGACCAGGCGCACGAATGCGGTGGGGCACTTCTGCCTCCAATCCCAGCACTCTGATTCCACAGAGTGCCAGGATCAAGCACACTGCTCTTTTCCACCCTTTCACGTACCCGACACTGAAGGGTGGCAACAAAGCACCTGAATCACAACATCAAATGCACAGCCCAATGATATCAGATATGACTCGCGCTATGCTCCCAAGTTACTGCCCAGGTTGATGGCGGGGCATTCGGTGATGCCGCCGTCGAGGTACTCCGGTGGAGGCATCGTGACGCCCAACTTCTCGACACCGACAACGTTGGGGTCAGTCAGGAACCTTAGATCGCAAGTCAAATCAGAACCCGGACCAGATCAAGAAGATTATAAGTACACATTAAAGTAACACTAGTACTGGGTCCAGTAGCCCCTCTGTCAAGATGAGTTCCAGGAGGAGCTCGGCCGTTTCAGGCTCCATCATTCCGCTAATTCCGAAATCTGAGCGCCATCCCAACTGGAAGGGCCTCAAGTAGCAGCCGTTGCTGTCAATGCTGTAGGCCTTCCTGCAGGTGCAGGCAGTGCAAAAAAAATCGTTTGTGTTTCAACTGTGTCGAAACAGTCAAGGTGCTCAGCATCTGCAGGACAGAAGTTGTCCATCCACCGGGCGAAGTCAAGCTTTTTCTCCTAGCAGACAGAGGGTGAGCAACAATGCCATGTTGGGACGAAGTCCTCAGTAGTGACTTAGTATTAGTAGTTAGACTTTATTAGACTGAATGAATGATTCTGATAACTATGACCCGTGACGAGTTTACAACAATTGCCTTGCCTCAGTGTCCATTTGGTTGCTAAGGAAGGCGTCGATGGAGCCGGCGGGCAGCACGGTGTCCTTGAGCCTCAGACTCAGAGAGGAAACGGACTGTTGATGCTCACTCCATCAGGTCCAGCACGTGCAGTAGATTAACAAGAGGCATGTCACAGTCCATGGCTTAAAGTATGCGCCAGGTGATGTTTATCTATTAGTCCTAGAGCTGCTGCTGAACAGTTTAGCATGAACTTTGCAGAACAAGCTTCCAAGCCGTGATCTTGTGAACATAGCTGTACTTTTCCAGGGTGGCCGGATTTGCTCCTTGCTTGGCTGCCTTCGCATTGGCAGGCCCAGCCTTGCCCTCCCCTGACTTCCGCTTGCCGGCCATGGTCACTCACTCCGTGAGGCAGGGCCCAAGCTGCAGGACTACTGCACTGTCACTGAATGAATCTCTGAGTTCAGGACAAGTTTCGCTCGGCAAGCGGCCGGACTGCAATTAAGCTTGTCGGTGTGGCCTACAGTACAATGCTGAAAGGATGAAATTGAATTCGTAACAGTAACAGTAACACAGAATGAACCTGAAACTAGCCGTCAACTTAACACCATGCTAGGTTAAGGTAGTCTGGCCTAGAGAGTAACAGTAGTAAGCTCAGCAGCGGGACCAGTGACACTGAATGAATGAATCTGAACTCAAAACATGTAACACCGAATGACATGAAACTGAGCCTGAAGCCTTAACTTAACACCAGGTTAAGTGAAATTCAGTTACTTAGGCTAGGTCCTCACATCGACAGAGTCAACCGCACGCTCGAGTCGGAAAACTTTGAGGGATGAGAGCATCAATGCTGACACATCAGATGCATCAAGGGCTACCTGAGCCTGGTCAGTGCATCAGAAAGCGACTCTCAGCGCTGCATAGCAAGCCGCCCAATTTCTTATGATGTCAAATTCACACTCAGTCAATAAGGCGCCACTGTCCTAGGATGGCTCAGCAACAGACAATGAGAAGCGTACTGTAATGCACATCAAAGGCTCCAGGCGACTACTAAATATGTCCTGCTGCCAAGGGTCCCGGCTGAAGAACTGTGATAATGAGGCCAAGTGACGCTTGTTCTGAATTGACTAACTGAACATTCTCATCGCCGTAGCAGAATCTGCGGAACGCCAAAATCCTGCGCGGCAATCTAAGGGACATTGACATGCTGCCATAAAGACGGAAACTGGGACATTCTGGGCCTGTCATTGTAAGGAGCAGCTATGGGCCTTGAGGCTGACCTGTCTGATTTCAATCTGGTAAATTATTATTGCATGTCTGTTTTGGGTAATTGGACAGGCTGGAACATTCAGCTTTACTTTAATTTAGCTTGCTATGAAGCGAAGTTACAGTTTTGGAGCTGAGAGGCGCTATGGATTTAATTTAGACACTTCGCACATGAACTGTTTTGCTGGAGTCGGACTCGGTGGGCGCACTGCAACAGCATCGGTGCCGTGACTCAAAGCCACTTGGGCTCCACGTGAAAGGAGACCATGGAATCACAACGTGTGGCTTGCAGCAGCTGTCAGAGCAGATTATGTAATGATCGTCCAGGACCAGCATCCAGAAGCAAACAAACAGAGCACCGCTTGTCACAGCGAATCGTCCCGCAGGCTCCTGCAGGGCTTAAAGAAAGAGAACATGGACAAAGACTTTCGATACAGTACAATTAACTATTACTAGTAGCCATGATGACATCATGATGATGTGTCTCTCTGTCTGTCTGTCTGTCTGTCTGTCCCCGACT